TTTCATTTTTATTCGTTTTATAATTCCATTAAGTACAACAAGGACACACATTTTGCTGTAATTTGGTTTCAGTGTCTTCATTTCTTGTGGACCTGAAATACAAAGGGGCAGAGAGGTAGGAAGAGGTATGCCAGTAAGCACTTTAAAATTATGCTGGGAGCAGTTCCCGATCTCCTCCTGTTGAATATACAGCCCCTCGGAACCTGAAACATTAAAATAAATCCGATGAATAAACTTAGAAAATAGAAATATGGTGTTAGAGACGGGATGAGTAGGTGTGCTCGGCGTACAGCAAATGCTGACATACTCAAGTATGTCTTGCTGAAAATCTTATGATTTCGCCTTGGATTACAATTAAGTCGGGACGTGCAAAAACCGCTATAATGTCCTTTTTTTTTTTTTTTTTTTTTTTTTTTGAGGACGATGATTAACCATGCGTTCTTGCATGGTGTGATGGTTCCGGCAAAGTCTATTGAAAGAGAGAACTGTTAGTTTTTAAGAAGTAATACTATTCGCACTCTTAGTTAGATTTGTTGCCGACGCGCTGAAATTGAAGGCGAGTTTTAAGTCGACGATACCTATCATTAGAATCAGATTTAGTTTATTGGCTCCATCAAAGCATGCACTGAGTGAGGGTTTCGAATTGTTTGATATTTGTGCTCCCCGGTAGATTTGATTAGAATCCCTTTATAGAGAGAGTCGAGACAACGCGGCTTATGGATGTCACGAACGGGAATAAGATTACACAAATCGGACGTTTTTTGTAATCTTTGATCCACCCATTCCCAAATTCCTGTCTCCGTTCTTTCTCTCATTCCATTTGTTCCTTGCCGTACCCCCAATTTCCATTCCAGTTTATAATCTTTGCAATTTGTAAAAATGCAATCTTTATTCCCGTTTGTGACATTGTAAAGGCCTAAAATACGGGCACCAATCAGGAATGGATTTGCATTGTCTTTTACTCTCAGTATAAAGGGACTCTAGATTTGATACTTATTGTTACTCTTCGTTACATTATTTTGCTCCCTCCTCTTTTTCCTTATCTTTTTTCCTCCTCTAATTCTAGCGCCCTTGTTACGATGACGCCCAGCAGTGGCGATTTTGCAATTTATGGCAACTCTGTTTTTTCTGCATTTAAATCCTTCAAAAATATCGATTTTAGGCAAGCCAAGCTGTCTTAATAAGAATCGATTATTTTACATGCATTTAGACGGAGGGAAATTCAGTATTGTCAACTTTAGAGAGCCGCCACTGGCGCCCAGCACAGCTGCTCCTTTTCTACCACTCTTGTTTCGATCCTGTTAAAAAGCTCTACACGTGTAAAAACGAAAAAAAAAACCCTAGAGAAAAAATCAGTAGTGACCCCTAATTCTGCTGCAAGATGCAAAACTTGAAAAATTACGAGGTGCATTTAAGCAATGGGCCCAGTTGCTCGTTTTCTCGTGATACCTCGAAACAGAAAAAAAAAAATTTCTTGTTTTTAACTATGCGTCTTTCGGAGACCCCAATTTCAAATCAGCGACCCTGCTTTATTCGTCGCATTAGTGGATAATACTACTTTCACATTGTTTCTCACTCATTCAAACGCCTTCAATATCTCGATTGGCAATTTAAGCACCTTGGGAGCAGTAATTGTTGCGCGCAACATTGCGACCACGTTTACTTTAGTTTATTCATAGCTGTGGCGGCTCAATACTTCACTCACATCGTTTTTAACCGCTCTAACGAGTTCGCCTTCAGTATCTCGATAGGCAGTGTGAGCGGCCTGGGTAATAGTTGCTCGTCGTTTTTTTGGTCACGTTCACTCAATTTGTAAATAGCCGAGGCGGTTTAATCTTCACTTCCATTGTTTCTCATTCGCTAGGACCAGTTCGCCTTCAATACATGGATAGGCAATGTGAGCTGCTTGGGAGCAGTAACAGTTGCTTGCAGCAGTTTTATCATGTGTACAGGGCGGCATCAGTGTACTGATGCCACCCTTTTCTTACAATCCGTTAACTTGTATAAAAAAATGGCCTAACGCTCCCCATGACCCCCTTTTCCCCTAGAGCATTACGCATTGCATGGGCGGCCTCTTACTTTGGGAGAGCAATGGATATTCAGACCAGTCTGCCGAGGGGCTGGTTGAACCGTTTCAACCGTTTGGCCAATGTTTATAAGCATGTGGTTTGTGGTCAGTCGCAACCACAGGCTCATAGAAGGTCAGAGAGAAAAAATTATTTAATGGCAGAAAGTTAATTTCAAGGGGCCAATGGTCAATATTTCAAAGAATTAGCTGTAGGTATGGCTTATTGTGTTTGCGGATCGTCTCATTCAGTACAGAGCTTTGTCCTGAGGAAATTATATGTAGACCAGACAAATCTATGATGAAACTGTGAACCCTGGATCTCGGTTGCATTTTCTGTCAAATTGGTCTCCTCCTTTTCTTTTCCTTCCCTCCGTTATTTGCCACCCCCATAATTTGCGCCCCCTGGTTACCCGCTAAGATAACGCCATTACGTACCCAAAAAATCACGACATGCTACTACCTTTAGAAATGGTTCATTTCAAACGTTTATAACATAGAGAGAAAAAAAGGAGGTGTTTGCATCTTGAGGATTGTGTACCCTGTGACGTAGGTCGGTACAACCTGGTCAGCCAAATCCGGAATTCTATGTATGAAAAACGGACCATAACGTCCGATTTTTTTGCTTAAATCAACTCATGGTGTAATTTCAAACACTTTATGTAGAATGCATTTTTTCCATAAACTACACAATTTCCAAGAAAATCGATGATAAAAGTTGCCGTTTCGACCTACGTCATCAAAAAAAATCCAAGATGCCCGAAATGCAAACACCTCCTTTTTTCCTCTATGCGTTTATAAGATCTTTAAGGCAAATTATGGCTTGAAATTTTGACCCACTGTTCTTGAAATTATTACATAAAAGTAAAAAGCATTTAGCGCTGAAACTTTTTAAATCTATATTTTTTACCCGAGTCAGTTTCTTCGTCGCCCTGATCAGTTTAAATGGAGTATTTGAACGCAAATATATTGCTTCTGAAAGTGCTTCATGAGCTGATTTCGCAGGGGTTTTCAAAAAAAAAAGAAATCTGAAATGGGGAATTATAAAAATATATTTAAAAGTGAAAAAATGCACCGTCTGGTGACGTCATCTGGCGGTACATCTCATTTAAACACATGTTTTTTTCGTGTTTAGTTCACTCAGTAGTTTCCACTTAAACAGGAGATTCATCTAATTTCAGACACCTGAAAAGTCTTCATATCTACCTCAAGACAAATGGACCACTAGACAAGGTACGAATTAAAAGATTCTGATACATGTTTCTCAACCAAAATTTTACGCAAAACACGATTCGCGCAACGAAAATGACTGAAACCAAATCCTAACGAAGATTTTAACGTTTTTATTTCACATTGGTTACAAAGAATTTGAACTGTCCGCTCACAAGAAACTCAAAGCTCTACGTGAGTCAAATCACGCACTACAACGGTTTCCGCAATCTTCTCAATCGAGCAATGTTCATTTCCCACCATGTGTTGTTCAAACTATTAGCAATTCGCTATAGCTGAGCCAAAGCGTCAGGATTGAGGTTGCCAGATTTTTATATCGCAGAGACTGTCATGATAAACTTTTAGCGCGCGATGTAAATCACGTAGAGCATTGAGTTTTCATGAGCGGGTCGTTTGAATTCACGCATCAAGAACTATTGAATATCTTCGTAAGGAGTCGATTTCGGTACTTTTCGTTGTGGTATCGTGTTCTACGTTAAATTTTGGTTAAGAAGCATGTATCAGAATGCTGAAATGTGCACCTTGTCCAGAGGTCCATTCTGTTCGACTCCTTCAGATATGTGTGAGTGCTGGATGACGTCATGCAGTAAGTTTGTTAAAGGGCGATGTCTTGAACGTTGAAACTCGGCGTTTGGAAATTGCTAATAGATGAGATTCGGTCATTAAACCACGACTCTATATGACACGCGCAACTGACTCATTCCTGAAGTCGTGGAAAGCCATAGTCGATCCGCGGATGACCTATGCCGCCGTGCTAAGGAAGAACGCCGTATGAGCCTTCAGGCGTTGCCAAATTTCCCTTGGTAAATCACGAATTTTCGGGGAACTTTGTAAATATTTTTATTTCAATTTTTCCGATAATTTTGTTCGCAATGTTACTCAAAGTTCTTGAAAATTCTTCGGAAAAATATTCATGTATTATTCCTGAAAAATAAACGTGTTATCGAAGGAAATTTGGCAACTTTCGAATGTTGATACGGCGTTCTTCCTTAGCACGGGAGTATTAGAGTCCCTTTATACTGAGAGTCAAGACAACACCCCTCATGGAGTCACAAACGGGAATAAAGATTACACAAATTGAACGTTTTTCGTAATCTTTGATCGGCTCATTCTTAAATTCCTTTCTCCGTTCCTTCTCTCATTCCGTTTGTTCCTTGTCGAACCCGGAATTCCTCGGTCCATTCCAGATTATGATCTTTGCAATTGGTGAAAATGTAATCTTTATGCCCGTTTGTGACACTGTGAAGGCCTAAAATCCGGTCAACCAATCAGAAATGGATTCGCATTGTCTTGACTCTCAGTATAAAGGGACTCTAGGGAGTATGCTGTCGTGCTAAGGAAGAACGCCGTATGAACATTCAAGGGTTGCCAAATTTTCATCGATAAAATGTCCATTTTTTATGATAGCTGTGGATGTTTTTCCTTAAAATTTGCAGGAACTTACGGTGAAATTGGGAACAATATTATCCGAAAAATTGGAAGAAAAATATTCATAAGTTTACCAGGAAATTCGTATTTTATCAATCGAAATTTGGCAACGCCTGAAGGTTCATACGACGTTTTTCCTTAGCACGGCAGTATGGGTCCGGATGATTTCTGTGGCCGGTCCGTCTCCATTAAATTGGAGGCGAAGGGCATGTGGCGAAGGGGTGGGGTGGGGAGATCCGATGGTGTCGATCCCGAGTGGCCAAGTGATGTCAAGGCGCAGCAGTCGAAGTATCGCGCTCCTCATGCTAACTCCGTGGATCGGAATCACCGTGCTCCACATGTGCTCTCGTTCCTCGATCGTCCACCAGTCGCCACCCCTAGCCGCTTGATTTCGCCCCTTCCATCCCTTATCCGCTGACCCTGAGATACTTTCCAACACTCTTCAGCAAAAGGGATAGGAGTCAGAGTGTGCGGGGTTACCATCACTCTGCACCTCACTAAATTTATCGCAGATATTGTTTCGAAGATCGGTTGCTTGTCTATCGAACGCAGATTCTTGTCGACCAAGTGACCGATCTGGATTTCGTTGCAACTTGCAATTTTTTTCAATGCACCGAAAGAAAGTGTCGTCTGTGTTGTGACTTACCAAGTGTCGGCATGAGTGTTGTTCCGGTGTAACGATAAGTACCTCGATTTGAGGATTTATTTTACATCCATACTTTTACATTCTTTCGGTGATGAACGATTTTCCGGAAACTTTGAAGTGATTTCTAAGCGTTGTTTCTGTGTGTTCAAATCGTGCGGGACTTCAAACGCTGCGTTACGCAGAGCATCTAATCCATCCGCTAAACTTGCAGAAAACAGTTATCTCAAGTGCTCTGCGGAATTTTATGGTCATTTTTTCCTGGACGGCAAAATATTTCTCTCAAATGGTGACAAATTTTAACTAAAATTACGCGTATTTCTGACAAAATGCAATTTTTTTTAGTGTTGCGTATTCATTAATCCAATCCGGTGTTCTTTGGTTTTTTTAGTTTATTTTACTAGGTATTGTGAATAACTCCAGTCCTAACGAAAGGAAGTGACTCTCAAATTAAAACTTGGATTTTTTTTCAAGAACTCCACATCGTGACTCAAACATTCCAGTTTGAAAGAATTTTCCATTCTAGGAATGATAAACTTTTCGCTTTGTTTTTAGTAGTGAGTTCATTGGAAAATTAAGAGGAGACGACATTATCTTTGTTTTCGTGCTGAAACTTTGAAGTGTTTTTTATTGTGGCGATAATGTATTTCATTCGGAGATTGATGTACGTTCCGCCAATCCCGCGGCAAGCAAAGTTACGTTCGTAATGCAAGAATAAAGTGCGGTTAAATCATGCACCGGGCTTCTGCGGATTGTCTTTCAACATGTGTTCCTGATTTAAAACTATAGTATCGATAATTGGCGTCCCCTTCAACCTAACAGGTAGGTTTCTACCAGCGCATTTATTAGAAAATTCGATTGCTTGTGTCTCATCTTATAAATTGTCTACATCCTCTTTAAATTCACTACAAACTGACTACTTAAAATCAAGGAGCTATTTTTAACAAAACAAGTGTAAGCTTTGAAATACTGCTAAGATTGTGTGACTTGACGTTTCATATTTGTAGCTAAACAATTTGAAAACCCTCCTGGAATTTTTTCGCAAAAGTTTTCCATACCTAAATTTATTCATTTTCCTATGAGTATAATTAGCATATATAAGGTTGTCAAGTTTGCTGCACGAAATATGTACAAAGTTGAACAATCTTAGCATAACTGAAAACCTCACACGTAGGTAGTTGTTACGAAGAACTCCTCCGTTGTATCATATTAAGTACCACGTTTCAATGAAATCAAATAATAGTTTGTGCTGAATAAACGCACTTTTGATACGGGAATTACTGTGTTTTAGGGTTTTGGAATATTTTACTTGTACAATTTTATATATATAAAAAAATAACGAAATAATCTAGGGAGCACGGTAAATTTCGAATCCAATAATTATCATGACGCCAAAGACAATTAGATCGAGTTGATCGAACCAAGAAGAAGTTTGATTCACTATTTCTTTGGTAGACTCAATATTCGAACAAAGTTCGATGCATATTTTCACGCTCAATTTTTTTTTCAATTTAGAATTTTTGCCAAGAGAAAATGTGCGACCACGCTTAGGTACATTCAAAACTACTCATGAATCAATATTTTGGATATTTTCATCACGCTCATGTGGTTGCAATTATTATCAAATTTTGATTACTCTAAGTTCTGATTGGCTGAAAATTGTGCGTCGTTTTTCGACTTGTAAGACTAGGCTTCTAAAGCCACATGACACTCAAAGGGAGAGTTGAGTCGTGGTTCATATCATCTAATAAAAAGAACTTAATTTGGATACATTTGATTCGATCTTTACACTTTTTACTGATTGTCTTAAGATCGTGATGTACATCATCGAGTTTTCCCGCGAGAAATACTTTCTTACAGTTTTGCAATCATTTGTTCGTTAATCTCCATCTAATCGTGCTAACCTCTGCTTAGAATCCATCTTCAGTCGTTAGTGACTTTCAGCACGCTTGTTCTCGTGATCAGCTCACTTTCATTGTGTTGCGCGACTCCTCCGTCCTTCCCCTGTGATATTAAAAGTGATTATGATTTTAATTTAAAACCCTATGAAGATTAAAAAGATGTTGCAATCGCGCGTCCGATCCGATCGTGAAAAATGTTAAACCCCATAATCACGACGCTCAAATTAAATAAATCATTTAATGTGCGCATATGAAGGGTATTACACATACATTGAAAGCAATGTAAATGCGTGTGTCGTCTGTTTTGAGGATCGACTAAAAGACATTTCTAAAAAAAAAAATCTAATTCAGTCATACTGCCAAACTAAATCTCAAAAAATAATGTTTAGGTGCGTCTCTGTGGCGTACGCTGTAAAATATATGAACCGAGCAGAGAGAGATTTTGGTAACAATCAAAGAGTGAATAACATTTTTTTTTCTCCACGATGCTCAGATTTCTTCTCCAAGACTAATGTTTAAAAAAATGGGGGGGGGGGGAGTTTTTTCGTCGAAAATTATCTTACCTGTAATAATGGCTACCCTGCAGCGGCCCCTCATTCCATATACGAGGCTTCATTCAGACTTCCTTCATAGTATGACCACATGACCGCCCCTTATGATACGACCATATCGACGCGAAGGCGGTGTTTATGCCTACTCGCTGGAATGAAGGCGAACTTTTTTCTGTTCGACAGAGCTCGGTCTAATCGCGCTTGCGTTCATTTGGGAGGCTAGGCAAAACATACTCCACAATTTGAGCGGCAGCTCCTTGATGTACGCTCCTGCTTCAAGCGCTTGTGGCATTCACAATTTGTATGTGTCCAGCGTCAGGGGCAATTTTTCCAAAATAAGTGATTTTAATCGCATTCATTAGTCATTGCATCGCAGACGCCTGATTTTTATGTGGCTTTTCAGCACTTTCTAGAACGCTTCCATCGTCTATCAATCACCTGATAATTTTTGGATTTTAGGATGCTTTGCCATACTTACATTTGCCATTTTAAGTAGTTTGGTGGTAGTAGCTTCTTCGATATTTACATCACGCTGTAGTGCGTCCTATGTCGGCATATAACAGCTGACCGAGCAACACTTTGAGAGAACTCCGAAAGTACGTCCCAAGTGAATGTAGAAAATCGTTTAACAATCGCTTTTTAACCATCATTCATGAGGAATCTATGTCGATTTTTGTCAATCTGACCAATTGAATGAAACCCTAGAAAATTCTCTACCAATATTTCCAAAGTTTTTATGTTAATCTTTCATACCTATAGTCTCATACGTAAATCCTCCAGATTAAAATTCCCAAAGTTTGCGATTCGGGAAATTTGTTCGAGGCGTACTCAAACGTACTTTGAAAATCCCTTTTGGTCAAATCCTCCGTGCGAATATTTGACGCGCTACACCACACTAAAAAAAAAAAAAAAAAAAAAAAAAAAAAAAAAAAAAAAAATCCCACGAAAAAATCCCACCGTCTAGAAATTACTATCAATGGAAAAATTGATCGCTTGAATTGATCTACGAAATAACCGTGAAAAAAGTCGTCTCACAGTTTTTTCTACCCCGCCTCTAATGGTGGTAAAGTAAGTGTAGAAAAATGGCAGCTTCAGTGTAGAAGTCCTTCAATGTTGCGTCAAAGGCCGATTTTGAAAGAATAATAGTTTCCATGTTGTATCGAATACATGCACGCATGAGTAATTCTACGGTTGATACTCTTTTTATTAAATCTCATTTCTCATTACTGACCAGGCCACGCGATGAGTCACCTAATTAAAGCGGCGAATACTCGGAAATGACTGGTTCAGGAACACTCACTTTTCGGTTCCATGGACAAGGGAGGGGGGGGTAGGTTGGGAAAAGGGTGGAGTCGCAGGGCTCCCCACTTCACTCACGTCATTGTAAATTCGAATTATTAGTCACATTTTTAAAGGATTCATCTTCGCACATTCCAAACCACGGTGACATGAATCAAGCGCCGAAAGTTTAGCGCTGCAAATCGTGTAAGTTTGTCAAATGATATCTTCCTGTTCATTTCTACATGACCCTTTTTGCCGTGGTCGTTTCATTTTTAAGGGGACTTCAGGTTTCGAAAAACCACCCCCAAAGTATTTCTGTACTCGTAAAAGGGATTTTTAAAGATGTTTAAATGTTTCGCTCCTACTCCCCATCTATAAAGTCTGGAGGATGCACAAAACCATGGAGACCATGAAAGCCATAGAAACTTTGGAAGTCTTAGAGGAGAATTTTTCATGGTTCCGTCTCTGAAAATTGGTGAAAATCAACGCGAATTTCTCATGCTTTACGACCGAAAAGTGTTTTCTAGTCGTTTTTCGTGGCTTCCAACCGAAAAAAAGAGGTGGTCGCATTTTGGTCACCTTGGATTTTGCTGATGACGTAGGTCGATACGGACGGTTTTTATCATCGATTATCTTGGAAATGGTGTCGTTTATGGCAAAGTCACTTTAACAATAAGCATATGAGAGGCTTGAAGGACAAGGCGCATAAGTGCGGCTTTTGCTATTTCCAGTAAAACGTGTTCGAAGTTTTGAAATAACATGGATCCTTAAGGTGGAGAGAAAATTCAAACGGACTTCTTGATGCTTAAAAATTGGAATTTGGGAGTGAATTGTTCACAGAATATGCATTTAGACTAGTTTTACTTTAAATCATTAACACCTCCATTTTTTCAAAACCAACTGCACTTATGCGCCTCCAAGTCCCTCATATAAAGTGTTTTAAATTATATTTTGAGTTGATGTGAACAAAAAACCGTAAAACAATGAACGAAACTAAAAAACAGCGAACCGATTAAATCAACTAAGGCTAAAATCAACTTAAAAACTCAATTCGCTTACGTATCTAATTGCCACCAATTTATAGTCCATTTTCCATACTTCGAATTTCAGATTTGGTGAAATATCGACGACCCCTTACTGTACCGACCTCATCACGGGGTAAGCAATCCTCAAAATGCGACGATCTCCTTTTCTTCTGTAGGGTTTCGTCCCATTTGGAATAGTCAGAGACGAGACCATATCTGTTTCTGAGCAAGTAAGAAAATAAAACAGTGAAAATGTCCCCCTTTTTCCTCATCTATCCCTAGTTAGGCCGGACTCGGGATATGGATATGCTTCGCCCCTCTTGGTCAAGCGTCGGCGTCAGGTCCTCCGATGTCCCCGTACCTCGCCACGCCGGACCGGGCCGCGCCGCATGGTGGGTCAAGTCGATCAGAGAGGTCAGACATGACATTTTAAACTAAAAGTGCAAATTGTAATGTTTAACTCGTCAAATTTTAAATTTTAAGGGGCGCATTCAGAAGAAAATTCCACAATGAAACCACTTTTAAAACCTTAAAGTTCTTTATAAACAGAGTTACGAGCTTTTAAAGTTTCCAAATGTTATCCGACCTTCCCCTTTAACTCGACCCATTGTGCGGCGCCGCGCGCACCCGCCCAGACAGACCTGCTAGATGTCTCGGGTCCGGTATTAATTAAGTGTCCGACAGCGTCTGGCCCGGAAGGAGGAACGTGGCTTGGGCTCAAAGAATGTAGAGCAACGTGCGCTATCGAAATCAAGTTCAAGTTGCCAAAATATTGAGATTTCGTTAAGGTGCACGGTCTGCCGCCTTCGTGCGATGATTTCGACTCATCAAACGAGTCGTGACAAAATATTGCGGCGTGAGGTCATTAAGACATAATGGCTCACAAAGCAACGAACTACCCGAACTGTTGTGTTGGTCGACCGGTAAGAGGTGGTTTGTGTGAATGCCCAGTTTCCTGCGCTCGCTTTCCTACTATAAAATGGACTGCATTTTGCAATTTGGAACTGTAAGTTCTATTCTGGTTTAAAAACAACGTATGTGTCATTACTTTCCATATGCACATA